TAGTCAGACTTTTTCGACAACAAAGCGAGGTGAACTGACAGCTACGCATCGACCTTCTCACTTTGATTGTAAAACATCTCCATGATAGGAGGGCAGCATACAGTCCTAGAAACAGGTATTTACCACCACCATATTACTTCGGTATACGAAAGCACCTGTTACACTTCTCTAAAATCCTTCTATCCATCTGCAGTTCAACAGCCAAGCTCAGTGATTTGAACGACACAAAACGGGTTTGGTTGATACCCCATCAATGAAGAATGTCTCCATTTGGCAATAAAGTGGTCGAGTCGGGTAACAAACAAGGCTAACAATACGTATGCGAATAGGACTTAAAAAATGATTACTGAATCACAATCACAGTTATAACATCCGTACCTGATGAATGTGAGCATGAGAGGGAACAGGCGGTCGTTGGAAGCAATTTGGAAACCGTTAGTGCCCGACATCGTTGCAGAGGTCAACCCAGACATAATCCACCGCTGGAATTCCAAAATCATAGCTTGTCTCCCACGTGAAATTTCCATAGAGAGATCGGTCATGTTTGCACAATCGATAGCAACGAAGTTCCGGCTCTCGTGGCGACTAAACGACACCTCCGAAGAAATATCGATAAAACCACAAGGTTCATCGAACGGTGAGACACGAACGAGAGCAATTCGAGTGAGAGAGGACAGGACAGTCGAAACCGGTAGATTTTTCTCGTTCATCAGCGACAGCAAGAATGTTCCCATGCTTGGGAGCACGTCCTAGAATCGCAAAGTGTCTGATGCAATCATTGACCACACAACACAACAACGAACAATAGACATGAACAATAAAACAATACTATACCCGACAGCCCTTGGCTGGAAAAAAACACTACTCAAATACCATCGGCACGCAACAAAAATTACACTCCTTACGACAACAAACGCAAATTACGGAGGCAAAATACGCGCTAGGGACACAGCAGAAAAATCAAAACTATGGATATTCTACAAAAACAGGTACTTGGGTTTAGGGAGGAAGAAACATCGATTTTGCCCACGTTAAAGGTGAAACACAATCACGTGTCCCATCCAAGTTGAAGGGCAATTCAACCATACAATTGAGCAATCAAACAATACCAATTGGCAAGACTCAAAAAGCTACATCGAACACACGAAAACACAAAACCTCTACAGAAAACACGACACAAAACGTGGACGTTGCTATAGTAGACGCGTGCAGTGATACATACCGCACGAGTGGATCAAGCAACGCAATTATCAATTTCGCCTCAAAAGCAGAAACACATTGCGACAACGCGCAAGTGCCAAGTTGTGGGGCACCTTCGGTGGACACACGGAAACCAACAAAAAACTAACACTCAAACCTAAACACAATTACCATAAGGACCACTCCGAACGGTGACCATATGCCTCAGACACTTCACTGAGCTCACAAATCCTTCGGCGTCACACCACTCAACTGCACTCAAAGCAATAACCACATCAAACAATCGCCCATCAAACATCGCACACTGTCCACAAACTATCGGAGGGAGAAAATAGCACACCTACAACACAATCAAACAACCCTCATCCTCATTCTAAGCGAAAGCAGCATGACCGCCCTGAACACGGAGGATTGAGAAAGTTACGCTCCATCTATCAAAGGAGCTAGTATCGTTAGTGGACGCTGAAACATGTAGATTTGTGATGTTGGGGATGGGTAAAGTGAATGGTATACGAGAAACCGGTGTTTAGGAAATTAAAGAACTCGACAGTTCTATTTATGGGTTTGTCGAATTTTCACGAGTTCTTGGCTATTATAACCAAGCGATAAATCATCTCCAACGGCGCCTGTAAAAAATATGACTTCTTACCCGATCGAACAGCTGCCAATCACTCAGATCCATAAGAAATTGCAGACGTCGTTCTACCGGAAAGCGTTTATCCAATAAAATCTGAAAATGAGGTTTTCGAGAAAACCGCAACAAACCATTCGGATTTGGTTAAACGGATTGTAGCGTGTGACGAATTCACGGACGAATTTCGTAAAGACAGGAATAACTTTGTCGGAGATTGATAACAGGAGCGCCTTCGATAAACACTAGAAGAAATCGTATAAAGGATTAATCAATCATTTACTTTTGTGATGGAAATGGTTTACTTCGCTCAAATGTTCGATATCAGAAGAGTATGCTGGACTGCTCACTAGCTAGATACAATGAATTGGTATTTTCCCCTTTGCGTGAATGCAAGATAGGATACCACGTATAAATCGGAAAACCGATACACGAACAGCATATTTTTAACCTAGGTTTTTGACACTGGAGTCAACAATTGAACTTGGAGGGACGAGGCATATAAGGTCAATCTAGGTCAAGTCTAGTTTGAGGGTAGCGAAGCTATCTCAAATCAGACTAATCCGATATATACATATACATATATATATATATATATATATATATATATATTCGCCAACGATTGGGTTCACACTATGAGCCAAACAAATCACTATTATGATCGGTAGCCCTGATTGATAGCTTCTTCTTCCTGGACAAAGTCGCTATTAAGTACTGATTACTCATGAGTAGCATGGTGGTGCATACTCGTTAAGAATTACCGAAAAGCTCAGGAGTTGATCCAAAAATGTAGTGATGAATAATAATGAATCAATCGAAGACAATCGCCCACAGATCTTCAGGGAAACTGTTTTGATATTTATTTTGATGTTTGAGTGCGAGAAGTGACACTTATGCTGACACTGAACTTTGTCCAAGTAAACCCACTTCTCTTCGACGTATGTGAAAACTGCGGTCAGCCATCTTCATTTGGTTCCAGTAAGTTTCCACATGGTTTGTGGACTTCCGGACTTCGGCTGATATTTCCCCTTCATAATGGCCATCTGGCGTATTTGAGAAACTCTAAATGGACCACCGAGATTTTGATCCAAGGCAATCATCTTATATCAACATGTTTTTCGAGAGAACACACCATAAAGTTGTCTGCTATTCTGAACACTGATGCCTGTTGCCTACAGGATGACCGGAATTTTCATGACAAAACAGGCACCTGACTCTACAAGAACCGTTCATTAAATTTCGGAAGCATCGAAAAAGGCGCCTGTTCGAATAGACAGCGTTTTCTTAAAACGGTAGCATCTTAATACGCATCCGTCCAGTATACTACCAATGGGTGAACCTTTAAACACTCACATTTATGGACGGCATATCGATGTTACACCTGGGTATACCTGACAAATTTCATACGCAAAACATTTGTGTGAAAAGTTACCTAGGTTCAAATTGAAATAAAAAGCAGTGATCAGATAGACTCATTAATCTTCAGAGAAAGAAAAACCACCATGAATAAGATTGCAGCCGATCACTCAGTTATCTCTCGGTTTTTTACCCCAGATTGCACCTTTAGTCCTTGCATTTTAAAATGCAAACTGTAAGGCTGCTTCGTTTCATAAAAACCAGTGCTAAATAGTTTGGTTCACGTATCTTGAAAAATCCTTGTCAAATGGAAACGGGAAAATGGGTGATGGTTTCTTATGACATTTACAGATGATTGGCAAGGGGAAAAGCACTAGATGCCCTTGAACTGCCGCTGGTTGCCCGCGGCCGCTTATTAAAGGAGCCCAAGGTAGCGTTATTCAAGATAAGCCACCGTGATGTGCACCCACAGCGTGACCATTTTAATGAGCTTTGGGTACTTTGTTCGGCCCTTAAGTCAGATAAGGTTTTCTACACTTTATAGGTTGGTTATAAACGTCTTAAGCTAAACCACGAGTACTGTCCCTTGGCGATCATTAAAAGTAAACGAACGTTGGTGATTGAGCATGTCAGCATTCGTGCACCAAGAGCCCAACCTTGATGACTTTCAACGGATGCCAAATCCGTCTCCTTAGTGCACCTCGTGTAAAACAGCAAAAAGCCATATAACAGAGACAGAAGTGCGGTTATTCGCTACACCTATGCGGTGATCGCTACATGGGCAACCTGAGGACACGACGGGTAGCATGCAGCTCCGCTCTAGGGACTGTCCCAAGTAAGGCAAATTGATGATTCAAAGCAAACATTTCAACGCCTTGTGAAACAGCAAATATCATATCATATCCATAGTAAGATAACCCAAGCACTTACCAATCCGAAAGCCTCTTCTGTATGTAACATGATCTCTGATTGGGTACTGCATAATAGGGTATCCAGAATTGAGAGAGCTTCGTTGTACTGTTCGGGAACAACACTGTGAGCTTTCATTCGATCGAAGGTGCTGGTTAGTAAACCAATAATAAACACCACTTCATTGACATCCAGTGTCCCCAAAATTCGATTCAACGTTTCTTTCAGAGCGGCACTCACAACACTACTGGTGAGTTGTTCAACACCCTTATCCGTAGGTTTCGCAATCATTCCTTTAATTAAAGTTGCGATTCCTTTCCTGACACTAGCTTTAACTGGGGCTTGTGTACCGCAGGCCAAGTCGAACATTACTGGCAGAATCTAGCTTAGAAGTTCATTAGCTGCATCAAAGTTGCATACCTCGTGTGCTGCTGTATGTAGCTTCCCATTTGTGCCACGTAAAACCTCTGCCAACAGAATTCCTACAAGCTGTACTACTGAGGTAATCGGCGAAGTAACTCACTTTTTTATTATCTGGGAATACGGCAAGAATATCTGACAGCATCGCACATCGGTCAGATACCTTGCGCAGTATAAAAGCTAAACACTCAGCAGAAAACTCAGCGACATGTGTTACGTTACTCAGCAGAAGAGGAGAGAAAATTCTAGAAGCGTAACAACGACGGGATTAACCCACTTGAGAGTGTTGACAATATCCTGCTTCAGGGGTCGATGTAAGAAATACGCCAAATGAGACAAACAATTGAAAGACTGGTTCATGATATCACCATCCTTAAAATGGGTGTGAATAAGCTCGAAGATTCTTGGGATGAACAAGTCGAGATGCGGTAAAAAGTCTTCACGCAAATCGCAGCAAAGGCTTGCGACAAGGCTGAAAAGAATGTTACACTTGTACTTCAACTTACTCTAGGAAAGGTTCACATGCTCCTGCAGATGATGAAACAAGATGTGACAGCAACTCTTCAACGATAAATTTCTATACATGTGATTAATGAGAACACGACATACTTGATTAAGATGCACAAGCTTCAAGCTGACGGAGTACGGAGCGATTTTCCTGCGAAAAGAAGCTACGAGCAATGTTAAAGTTAGTTAATGACTTTACCGAGCTCTTCACCCGCGTTGAACGAAGTCCATCGTTCAACTGACGATGCAAAGAAGCTATCTAAATCTTCCTATCCAAAATATATGTTAAACTCAATCGGAGAAGAAACCCATAAACATACGTCGTTTTCGGAATAATGCACACTTTTGAGGGAAATGACCACTTTATTTTTAATTTCCTCTTTGTAGCTCACGAACTAGATATCATCAGTACAGCGCACGAAATAACGTACCTTAAATCTGTTTTCACGTGACATCACGCATGCGGGATTTTCTAAATTGGCGCTCTCTTTTCAGGTCAGGTCAGGTCAGGTCAGGTCAGGTCAGGTCAGGTCAGGTTGCACAGGACTCACAGTGGCCACAGGCCAATCACCCTTCCAAAAATCCTCCAGGGGTATGCCAGTGAGTGTGCGCCTACCTCTGCGATTCGTCAGTTTCTCCTTCTACCTGCAACAG